CTACTTTTACGAAAATTAATTCGCAAACCAGATATCAACTCAAACCACCTTAAAATGGTCTTCACCGTAAAAATATTCTCTCCATTTGCTTTTCCCGAAATCAGGGTATCGTCTGCAAATTGGAGCAGCGAAATATTCAATCCCTTACTACCCACATCAATTCCATGTAACAGGCCCTCTAACTCAGCTTTTTTAACTAGACCATGTAGCCCCTCGGCTATCATCAGAAACAGAAAAGGAGATAGAGGGTCCCCTTGCCTTAATCCTTTACCCATCCTAAACTCCTCGGTTGGGCTTCCATTCACTAACACCGAGATTCTGGCTGTTGAAAGGCACTCTTTTATCCATCCTCTCCATCGCACTCCAAAACCAAACCTGTTCATCATCCAATCTAGAAAAGACCAATCAACACAATCATAGGCCTTTTCAAAATCTGCCTTAAAAATAAAAGCTTGGTGCTTTCGTCTCTTGACCTCCTCCACAACTTCATTCAAGACTAACACCCCATCAACCAACTGACGCCCCCCAACAAAAGCAGACTGAGTATTACTAATAATCTGTGACATGACCATCTTAAGCCTATTTGCCAACACCTTTGCTAATAGTTTGTAAATACACCCAATCAGGCTAATAGGTCTAAAATCTTTTAATTCCACAGAGTTCAGCTTTTTAGGAATCAACGTCAAAAAGGAAGAATTTAGACCCTTTACTAACCTGCCATGTTGATGGAACTCCCCAAAGAAACTTACAAAATCCTCCTTCAAGCTATTCCAGGCAAATTTGATAAAATTGAAGTTGTAACGATCCGGTCCTGGTGCTTTATTCCCTTCACAATTCTTCAATCCGTCCTCGATTTCTTCTACCGAAAATGGTCTTTCTAGCCAAACCCTCATCTCCTCAATTATCTGCTTGAAAGTAATACCGGCAGGTTTTGGACGATTCCATGATTCTCCACAAAACAACTTTTGAAAGTAATCAACAGCCGCCTTTTTTACCATCTCTGGCTCCTCCACCCATTGTCCATCACACGAGAGCCCTACAATGCCATTGCAAGCCTTTCGTCCATTTGCAATTTTATGGAAGAACCTGGTATTTGCATCCCCCAATTTCACCCAGTTACTTCTTGACTTCTGCCTCCATAAAGTTTCTCTTTTCCTCAAAATGTCCCATATCTCTTGGAAGCCCTCCTGTCTTTCATGTACCTCATCTTCTTCCAGCATAAAATCTTCATTCTTCATATCTACACTTGCAACTTTAGTTGCTGCCCTTTCAAATTGAGCCTCTATATCTCCAAACACCCCTTTGTTCCATTCTCGCAAGAACTCTTTCAACATCTTCAATTTTTGTTTACATCTGAAGCCTGCAAACCCATCCACTGCCATTGCATTCCACTGTTCCTCAACCACCCTCTTAAACTCTGGATGTTGTTGCCAAGCATCAAGCACCCTAAATGGTTTAGGCCCCCAATCCGTTACTTTGGTTTTCATAATGATTGCACAATGATCAGAGATAGTTCTTCTTAAACCCTGCTGCACCCATTCTCCACCCCATTCGTCCATCTCACTTGTCAGCAAAACCCTATCCAATCGGCTCATAGCTGAGCCATCTGGTCTATACCAGGTAAACCTTCGATTTGCCAATTTATGATCCACCAACCCCACTGCCTCTATAAAATCGTTAAACTCCTTCATATCCGGACTCTCCCCTGTTCTACCTCTCCTTTCTTCACAGCTTCTTACTGCATTAAAGTCCCCTGCAATCAGCCATCTTCCTCCTTCGTCCATAATCATTTGCCTCAACTCATCCCATAACTCAGCTTTTTTCTTTCTATTAGTTGGAGCATAAACATTCACCAGGTAACACAGTTCCTTCTTCACTCCCCAAAGCCCTTTTATTCCCAGATACCCATCCCCTGTAAAGTGACCCAGCTTACTAAAATTCCTCCCGTCCCACACGCAGAGCAGCCCGCCTGAAGCCCCTAAAGACCTCTTCACAACCCACTCAAACCCATTCGAATACCACACCATTTTACAAAGACCCTCATCAATCTCTTCCATTTTGGTTTCTTGTACAAACAGAAAATCTGGTCTTTCTAACCGCACTAATTTCTCCACTTCCCTCCTGTTCAGCATACTCCCGAGACCCCTAATATTAAAAGATAACACCTTCATCAAAAAAAAAAAAATTTTTACCCACACCCACCCTACCCACACTCACCGGCACCTCACTGATGCTTCCCCTGCCTCTCATCACGTTCCTCCATCACACATAATCTAGATTCAATCTCCTCCTCATTTTCCTGGAATTGCATACCCAATCTTCTCCCTATACTCATCATCTTCCTCACCTCCTGCAAGTTAAGATCGCGTTTTATTACCTGGTTTCGGTGCTCAATGCAACCATCCGACACCGATACACTTCCAGCTCTCTTCACCACTTCGTCGGTCACCATCTGAGCCCTATTTGCCCGCCTTGCTTGCCTCTGCTTTGTCCGTGTCGTGACCCAGTCGGCCTTCTCTGTCCGGATTTTAGATAACCCCTCCAAGTAACAATCTGCAATTTTTCTTCTTCTTTTACCCTTCCCGTCCCTGAATTTTTCTTTGTGGATTGTGCTAGAATTCTCTAGATCCTCTGTCGTTGACTCTTCCTCTTTATCCTTATCTTCCTCATTTGTTGGGCCTTTAGAAAGCCCATAACTCCCCTCCAGCCCGTTATGTACCTCACCCCCATCCAGCCCAAACCCCTCATCATTCTCCTCGCCTACAACATGCCCATTTACTTCTCCAACTTCCCGCGGCAAAACAAATCCAGCATTATTAATGCATGCCGTTACTTCTTGCAATCTTTGATTCAAAAATCCTTCTTTATGTAATGACTCAGCATCTAAACTGTCTTCATCCTCGCCGCAAATCCCGTTGGTGAATAATCCATTCCCGTCATCTTCGCTCGACAATGAATGAGTTTCCGATGTAGTGCTCATCACGCTCCACCGGTCTTCCTCCGTCAGCCACCAGTCCGGATCCGATCGCCATTCCTCTTCCACTACTTCTATTGCATACATCTTCTCCTCCACCTTCAGCGAAATGGTTCTTGAGACTCTAGATGCATCAGTACAGAGAACCAGCACCCTTGCATCACACAAAATAGCCTTCCTTCTGGTATCGTCGTGGATTAATGAGATTAATGTACACACAAAACATTAATCTCATTTTTTGATCCTTATCAAAAATGTTTTAAAAACTTAAATATGGTTTAGCAAATATTTTAGGTTCAATATGCCATAAATTGAGATAGAAACACCACACTATAAATTGAAGCATGCCGTGAATTTTTGAGGAAAAATTGAAGATCATCATAAAGGTGCAACACCAAGGGAAAGGGTGTTGATACGAACAAGATGGAACAAGTTGCTGATAAGTTTCCATGAAGAATGGGAGGAAATTTAGGACACCAAAATATAATACCTAACTTTGAAAGTGTAAAACATTTGGTTAAATAGATGATAATAGAGCAATCTAGCTAGTTAATGGTTTCATGGATATTATAACTGAACCTGAATCTTGATTTGAAATCACAAGTTAGCATAATTCACAAGGATTAAAAAATGAAAAAGTAATTGTTGAGATAGATTAATGCTAAAAACACTCCAAGGCAACACAGTGCACATTGCTATCTCTCACTTGCTCTAAACACTCAGTAAGAAGGATATATAATAACGATAAAATCCACATGGACTATACTTGGAAGTATGAATTCCCACATAAGTCGACCTTAAGGAGAGCCAAGAACCTTTGCAAAAAAACCTAAAATATAAAATAAAATTACGATGAAAGAAGAGAAAAACAAAGAATCAAAAGGAGAAAAAAAAAGGATGGGAGCGACGAGGAGGAGGGAGTGGTTACAAGGGTTCTGCCCTCTGTTCTTTTTCTTTTTTTTTTTTTTCTCTCCCTCTCTCTCTTTTGAGAGAGCGGTGCTTCTCTTTTTCCACCAATTCCCCTCGGATTTCTTTACCGTATAGAATTTAGAATTGCTTTGATGAATAAGAGTATGTCTCCTTTTTAACCCAAGTGTGCAAGCTCACATTAGGGAATATTAACACACATGGATTAACCTAAGATTTATAAGAAGTAATCTCGTTAGTAACCTGTAATCTTAAGCTTACACTACCAATTATATGTTTGGTTTGCTTACACAATACTTTTCCTTATAGCTATATACCACTAATGCTCGTTGTTTTGGGTAATGAAATTGATTTTAACTATAGTTTTAAATATTTAGGTAATTATACAAGTACAGAACACTTTCAAAAAATAATTATTAAATACTAACATAATTTTTGCAGTAGAACAACACAAAAATATCTACAGCTACAACAAGATAAACCAGTCCCAAACACACCCTGAGGATGAGCCCTTAGCATTTGATATTGAAGCAATTCGGACAGCAACTAATAATTTCAGTGATGAAAATAAGCTCGGACAAGGAGGATTTGGACCTGTTTACAAGGTAATCACTATTATGAATAATCCATCTAGCTTATTGAAAATATTAATTGAAACTTCATATGCATTGAATATAAATGGACCATTTTTATCAATTTTATAGGGTCTACTTCCAAATGGGCAACTTGTAGCTGTTAAAAGGCTAGCTAGCTGTTCTGGACAAGGAGAATCAGAATTTACAAATGAGATTGCCTTAATGGCCAATCTTCAACATCCTAATTTGGTCAAGCTCCTTGGTTATTGCTTGGACTTGGAAGGAAATGAAAGAATTCTTGTCTATGAATTTGTCACGAACAAAAGTCTTGATCGTTTCATATTTGGTACGTACCTTCTTTGCATAACAGTACCTATTTGATTTTGCTTTAGGTTCAGTTTTCATATTGTGTTTATAAATCAACAAAGATGTTGACTTTTTATATTTTCAAAGTTGTGCCTTCATGTCTTGGTCATCTACGTACAAAGCCATCAACTTTTTAAAATTGACATAACAAGTTTTGTTCCTCTTAGCTAATCACTTGTTTGAATCGTGAACATATAGATCCTATCAAGCGTGCAGAAATGGATTGGGCAACCCGTTACAAAATCATTGAAGGTCTTGCCCAAGGGCTTTTATATCTTCATGAAAAATCTCGACTCAAAGTTATTCATCGTGATGTCAAAGCAAGTAATATTTTATTAGATAAAGATATGAATCCCAAAATTGCAGATTTTGGATTGGCAAGATTGTTTTCAGATGACCAAACTCATGTTACAATGAGTAAAGTTCCAGGAACATAGTAAGTATCAAAATCTAAAAATGCCTATTTAACTTATTAATACTCTTTGTAATAAGTATTTCATTTCAATTTGTAAAATAATGAAAATGTTGAATTGTAGTGGATATATGGCTCCAGAGTACTTGTACCATCGCAGATGTTCAGTTAAGTCGGATATTTTCAGTTTTGGTGTCTTAATTCTAGAAATTATGAGTGGTCAAAGGAACACTATGTTTGATGGGCAGCACGAAGTCGACATTAGAAGTGTGGTAAGTATATGAAATTAATGTGCAACTCACATGAACATTTTAAACTATAGTCCTTTTATAGATTAACTATAATATATTCTAAATTTAATTCATTTGTTGTAGGTGTGGAGAAATTGGAGGGATAGAACACCATTGAATATTGTGGATCCCAATTTGATGAGGGAGGGATCAAGTAACCAAATGATGAGATGCATTCATATTGGATTACTTTGTGTGCAAAAAATTGCACAACAAAGACCGGAAACGGGAAGAATTGTTAAGATGCTTAAGTCGCATGAAACCCTCCAAATACCTTCCCAACCATCTATTTTTCATACTGATAATGCCACTGAGTCTGAAATAGAATTGTCTTGACTTCCATAAATGATGTTTTTTATTAACGGAGCTATATACAAGATATCTTGAAGACCCATACAAATGTTATTTATGTAACATAATTATTAGCAGTTCTTGCTATATACAACATTTTGAAAAGGTATTCACTCTTGTTAATGAACTCTTGGCATAATGGTAAGAAAAGTCTTGGAAAGAAAAAAATTAATTTTTATTTTAATCGTAAGTATCATATGTTAATTTATTGATTATTTAATCTCATAAATAATTATCTTTTATTTTGCGACTTGCAACTAGTTTGGAATCGTAGATATAGAAGGATGCAAGTGGAATCTGACTCCCAACCTGCTTTGTCCCTTGTTCTTTGATCGAGATTCATCATTGAACATTACAGAAATTGAACAAAGAGGAAAAAACCTAAATCTCAATTTTAATTTTATTTATTTTATTTATTTTGTAGATTTTACATACTGTTTTGAACTATGATACTCCTGTTCTTAGATAATATGTAGACCAAATGATATTGGTTGTTACCAAGTCCGCTTTAATTGATTTTGTATATTATATTCCTTGATTTTGTATGACTTGAAATTTTAGATTCTACTAGTTTGTGAGATTAATTTTAAAAGCAAATTTCAACGATTTATTCCAAGTGGGTTTGCAGAGATGCCCATAGATAATAACTTTTTGGTTTCACTAAGAAAGTGGGTTTTTCTACTTCTGTTTGCTTCTGAGCTTTGGGGACCTAAAGAAAGTTTTCTAAGATTATTGTGGAAACTGCCTCTTTGGTTGCTTTCAATCTTCATCACTTTTTTAGTGAATGCAACATGGTTGCGGATAGACTTGTTCAACTGGTCAGTTCCGGTGGATTTCCTTTTCTTTTCTTTTTTTTGGAACCTCCCACTACTGAGATGCCTTTTCATTTACAAAAGACATGCATGTGATTCTTTATCTTAGACCTG